TCTCTCTCTCTCTCTCTCTCTCTCTCTCTCTCTCTCTCTCTCTCTCTGTGTGTGTGTGTGTGATATGTCTGAAAATGAGTGGTATCTGCCCCTATTGAGTTGCATAGGAAGAATCACACAAAAGGAAAGGGATGTTTTTTAGAAGAAATCTTTAACAGAGTTTTAAAAGGGATTAAGTCACTGGCCCCAACTGATCCCAACTGACCCAGTCATCAAAAACCATTGCTTATCAACCAATATCCACAAATGGTTGCTTTTAACCTATACAGTAGATTTTAGGAAGGTGCTTTTAACTTCGGTATCTGCTGCTCTCAGCAAATGATTGACATGCACTGTTCTGAGCTGGGGCATAGAGGAGTACATAATTTAGAATTTCAGCTATGCACTGGCTTAAGCTGTGAAAGCTAACTACAAGAGAAAAACCAAGTAAGGAAGGTTGTTACATCATTCTCTAAAAGGCAGCTTAAACAAACAGGCTCAGTACACAGTAGGATTGTAGACCTAAATCTCACATGACCTCAAAGTGTATTACTAACTCTGACTGTGAGGTCCAACAAAAGTTCTTAGAATGTAAGGGGTATTTTCAGAATATTGCATCACCACATACATGGTTACACCTTCCTTACAAGACTATATATGGTACGTATGTCTTAATAAGATGAGTAAATGTTCAAGGAATTCTACAATAAGACATCATTCATTAAGAAATAAAACTAGGGCTGGGTGTGGTGGCACATGCCTCTAATCCCAGCACTCATGAGGCAGATACTGTCAGATCTCTATGAGTTCAAAGTCAGGCTGTTCTATGGAGTGAGTTCTGCAACAGCCAGGGAACTGAGAAACCTTGTCTCAAAAAAAAAAACCCAGAATAAAAAAATAAGAGAAGGAAGGAAGGAAGAAAGGAAGGAAGGAAGGAAGGAAGGAAGGAAGGAAGGAAGGAAGGAAGAGAAAGAAAGAAAACTATTTCAACTTTAGCCTCTTCAGCATCACCAGATATGTATGCCCATCTAATAGATGTTTATGTTATTTACCCTATACTGTTTTAGATCTCAATAAAAAAATTTTCAGGCTATAGCATCTATTTTCATAGGGCAATACCTAAAATAAAATTAAATTTCTCTTCTTTTTCTAAAATGAAGACATGGGAACATTAACATTCCAAAAAGTTGAACCCATTGTATGTAACAATATCTATCAATGTTTTTAAATGGCTAGTATTCACCAAGTAGTTCAGAAACTAGTAAGCAATGTGAGATGCAGGTGAAACATTCAATCTCTGTGTATAACAGTGTTATCTTTTCCTGTTTTTAAATGATATTTATGTATTGTCTGTTTGTGCGTGCCTGCACACGTGTACAGGTGGAAACTAAAAGGCAACTCCTGGGAGTGAGTTTTCTCCTTTCATCATGTGGATTTCAAGGATCAAACTCTTGGATCATCAGATTTGGTGTCACATGCCTTTACCTGGTTGACAACCCATTCTACTAGACAGCAGTGTCATTTCTAAATTGAAAAATGTATTTACTAAAGGTTTAGAAAGGACTCTATGTCACCATGGCTCACTACAGATTTCCTCGAGTCAGCATCATTAAAAGTGGCAAGCCTGCGAAGGATGTAATAAGGTCAGAAGTCATTTGCTCACAGAGGCCATAAAAGGACCAGGACTGGAGGGAGACAAGGGCAGGTAGGCTAAAGCAATGGGAAGAAATCACCAAGTCTTAATTAACATACCCACAAAAGGCAGTAAAGTTGCAATTATGACTGGAAAATAACTTTATTTCCAAAACAACAACAAACTACTTTATTAAAGTCCAAAGTCTGCTTAAGCGAGTAACTTGTGTAACACTAAATGGGAAGCCAGAAAAACCACTCAACTGAGAAAACATAGACAAAGGGATTCCTGTACTTACCTTAATAATACATGTTGAATCATTATTTTTCTGTGACAATGTTGTATCAAAGAAAACATGGATTGCACTCAAACAGGTCTGAGTTTGCTCCCTAAGACATGTGCAATCCCAAAATTCGATTAGCCTGTTGTGTCTACATGTCACCTGTATAGTCAGGATCGACAGTGTTTCTAGCCTTAGAGTCACTGACTGATATCTTCAAAATAAGATGATGTCTTCAAAAGTATGTGAGACCTCACAATTGTTCTGTAAGCAGTAACAGCTGTTACTACAATTTCTGCACTACCAAGCATGATAAGTGAGTGTTTATTCTGTCCACTCTGTAAGAAAAGGAAGACACAATAACAATAACACTAACACTAACAGTAACAATAACAGATTTAATCCCTTATGCTGATACCCTTCAAGTGAATCTAGAGCCATTTGTGGGATTACTTGGGAAGAAGACAAACTAATTCATGTCTTCTATGAATGAATAAATGTTATGTAGTGTCTAAAGTTCATATCACAGTTTTGCACTCCACATTCTACAAGTTCCAACCACAGGCAGCTGTCTAAAAGGAATTTCTAAACTAAGACATGATTAAAACCTGAAGAGAATTTGAGGGGTAGGGGGCATGGAACACATGTTTGCATATATTTTCATCTAATATATTTGAAGCTAAAAGCAACTACCTATTAACAGGAACATGTGTTGAGTAAATAATTATGAGCATGGATTCTGGAATGGCCAGGGCTTATTCTGTCCTGTTCCTCTGTCACACGTATGATTTGGCGGACAGGCACTTTCAACTGTGAGCCTTTTTGCTTTTCTGTAAATGGGCTCCTATCACACAGAGAGAACTTCTACCTCTAGCTCAGTTGACAGGAGTTTTCTTAAAAGGCAGCTAGATAGTCTGTCATAGGGAAAAGTGAATTATTGGTAAGAATCGGCCTGTTTCCTATTGAGGTTGTATGAATGAGTCGTTGCCTGTTCATACTGGGAATGAATTAATTGGCTGTGCTTCTAAAACAAAAGAACAATTAAGTATTCAAAGAAGCTTAGAGAACTGGAAATCCAAAAGATGATGAATAGCTTATGGCTTTCACAGAAGAAGAAACTGAGGTCCAGAAAAGTGGAAGAAAAAAAAAAAAAAACCAGAGATAGCCTTCCTAAGCATTATGTGCCAGCCATCTATCCTCGTACTCTGTGTTGCATACAGTGACTCTCCTCCATCACTTTACGCACAGTGCCATTCTCTCAAGCTCATACATGTTCTCAAACAGGATGCCAGACACTGTTCATTTTCTAGGCAACTTTTCCTTTGCTATATAAAGCTCTGATGTTGTTAGCAACTCCATAACTGATCCTTGAGTTGTTTTTACCAAACCTGCCTGCAATCCTATCAAGCAATAGCTGCAAATGAAGACTAGGGCTTGACACATTCCAGGACCGAAGACTCCATCACTGCAGACACAAAAGTAGCCAGGACCGTGCAAGTGCTTGTAACTAAACATAAACCATACGACAAGCCAACTTTCATCTACTTTACTGTTGAGTGAAGAACAGAAACAAATAAATTAAGAATAGAACTGTAGAAGGAAAGCACTGTGGGTCTTCTCAAGGGATCACTTAGCAAAAATACATCCCTAAAATTTAAACAACTTTCTCAGAAGAATGGAAAATCCCAAACAGGGTTACTAAGGTTCTAAACAGGAACTTCTACTCAGTAGAAGTAGAGTAGATCAAGGTCTCAAAGTTTCACCAAAGAGAACAAAAACACTTTTCAAAGATTTACTTTCGTTTCTATTTATGTGTATGTGTTTTTTGTGTGTATATTTCATGTGCATGTGGGTACTCATGGAGGTCAGACGAGGGTGTGTGTGTTGGATCCCCTGGACCTGGAGTTACAAGTGATTGTGAGCCACCTGATGTGGATGATGAAATCAACTCTGGTCATCTGAAAGAATGGCAAGTGCTCCTAACCACTAAGCCATTTCTCCAGGCCCCAGAAATGTATTTTAAAGAAAAATTAATTCATACTCTTGTGTAATTTGGAAAGACTCTTTTTCATTATGCAGGCAAACCCATTATGTCACAGGTGAGAATGTAAGAGAATAAACTACTTTCCCAGCTCTCAGGATGAATTGTAAGCCTTAAACCTTTTGTTCCCTGGCTTCCAATCCAGCTGTCCTTTTTGAGGAGCAGATTATCTATATCAAACCTCTGTATCAAATCAATAGGTTACAAAATACCATGTTTGAGCCTCATTTCAGGAACCTTTGGGGGGAAAATACATTTCATAGAGTTGTTAACAGGATATTAGTTCTACTAACATCAACAGTAGGAATTCACTTCCTTGACCATATCCCTACTGTGTTTTTCTGGTAAATCTTTTCATAAAGGGCTTTGAGTGTGACAGAAAACACCTTGAGATTCTATGGGGATACAAAGAACAATAATTTAGCATATTCAAGCCTGTGTATAATAGCATTTCTTCCTTCAGTGAAAGATCATGTTCCTGAGACTAAGCTATGCGTAAAGGAGAGAAAGTGCTATCCTGTTACTGAAGCAAGACCCTTCATTAAGATGGCTTCACCCCACACCATTAGGAAAGTCTCACTTACTGTTCAGGTCTTCACAAAGCTTGCCCTATTTGAACAAGAATATGGACAACTGGCTCATACCATGTTTATACAAATATGAGTATACACACACATACACACACACACACACACAGAGAGAGAGAGGGGGGGGAATGGATACACACACATAGGCACTGAGTAAAATGGGAGTGATAGCTGTAATTTATCAACATCCAATTTTTCTTATTTTGCTCTACAGTTGTGTAAAAATGTTCTTAGTAAATATTAGCCAATGAATATATTGAATATTGTCATATTTTTATAAATATAATTGAATCTAAAATTATCCTAAAATGTTCAATGAAAAATTAAACTTTTGATATGTGCAACTTAATTTCAGAAAATTCTAAAAAAAAAAAAAAAGACAAAATTATAGGGTAGGTGCATGCAGGGAATGACCAAAACAAATGATGTTGGGTAATTTTTATAATATATGACTAATGTTTATAATACATAACTCTTGGGAAAAGAATACTCAATTGTTCCTTGTATTTAACGTGTGTGTGTGTGTATGTGTGTGTGTGTGTGTGTGTGTGTGTGAGAGAGAGAGAGAGAGAGAGAGAGAGAGAGAGAGAGAGAGAGAGAGAACCGTTCTCTATGTGTCCTTGGAGGCCAGAAGAGGGTGTTGGACCCTCCAGAGCTGCAGTGATAGGCAACTTTGAGCCACTCACCCAGCTGTGGGTTATGAACTGAGCTCCTGGGCTCTTCAAGAGCAGCAAGGCTCTCTTCACTGCCGGGCCATCTCTCCAGTCCCCTGTGAGTTTTCTTTTTATTCGTTCAAACTTCTTATAGGATTGCAATTATTAAAATAAAACAGACAAACAAAAAAACCCTAAATGCACCCAAAATATTCCCTGGGGTACATCGGTGCTGTCACCAGTGCTGCCTGGTGTCACCCATGCTGGTGAGTGGCATTGCTTTGATCTCTGTCAGCTGACGGAAGTGTCTCTCTTGGATTTCCTGTATTTGGATTGGCAGGATCAAGTCATATACATACTTTTTCTATTATAGTATAAATATTTTTCTTTCTGATTATGTATTTTTTATCAACACTTTCATAAGTGTGCAAGCTTTTGTTGTATTGGCTGCCTTTTAAATCATCTTGAAAGGCATTCCAAAGAATTCCACTCCAAGTGAAGGGAAGGTTAGGATGATCCAGGTAGCCACACTTGTTATACTGGAATTCTTAGTCAGAGTTGTCACAGCCTTTAAATGTCACATTTCTACCCAGCAGTATACATCATAATGTCATCTAGCTTTGACAAGGTAATGATGTCATCCAACTAGGCCTAATCATGAAAATGTATGTCTTGCTGCAAATGATACACACTTTCTGTTTAGTCTAAGTACCAGATAGTCTCTAGAAACTTCTACTTCTTTCTTCAGAAATGTAAATTCTATATAATATGTGGACAGTTAGAAACATGCCTGAGTCAAAAGACATTATCATCAGTTTATTTTTAATATGTAAATGACATTTCTCTCAAATCATTATTTCCAGAAATCAGAGCGGCACTCCACTAAGGCAGTAACAAATATGGGCTTCTAATAGTTCCCATAAGCCAACAGACAATAACCTCATTCACCATTCACATTGGAAAGACACAATGTCGTGTAACTTATATAAGCCATAAATGGAACAGTATCTTCATGCAGTATGAGATCCACAAAGGCCAGTCTTCCTAAATCTACTGATTTTCTCAGAGCTTGAAAAACATGCAGTTGTTATAACTCCTAAATATATTTATAAAGTCTGTCATTTCAAACAATGAGTGTAGCAATATACAAGTTTGTTCTACCCGAGGAAGACGCTGCTAAGTCCCTTAAGTAGCCTGTGTATTTTTATATACTGAAATTAAAAATTTAAAAACATAATTTATCTCTCATTTCAGCATTTTAAACAAAATAGTAGAACTTTTTACTTTGGGTAGATTGGCATTATCTTCATGTATTCTAACTCGCCCATTATTAAAATGGGTTAAAACATCTCAAACCACTGCACAAAAAATACATATAACCCAAGAAATTTAAGTCATGGTTAAAAGCCGTAGATGACTGCTTACTCATAATTTAACCTGAGAAGACATAAATGTAATCACACCTAATCCAAATGGATTAGGTAATTTAATACATTATCAAGATAGTGTTATCATTACTAGTTGATCAGTTGTGTGTGTGTGCGCGCGTGCTTGTGCACTTTTATTCCCATGAGCCCTCAATACCCAGGGAGGCTGCCTAAACAGCTCCTGTGAAAAGTCAGGGTATGTTTGCAGGAAAAAAATGAAGTTGGAAACAAACTTAGCAGTCATTCCAAACCTGTTGCCTGCATAGGAGAACGAATCTTATGTTACAAGGCTGGCTGTATCCCAAGACAAATGCTTACAAGTTATCAATTCGTCCATTTCACTGGCAGAAGCAAAACTGTAAAAGTCACAGGGGTGGCATTGCTTCACATGGAGTTTTAATAAAAATAAATGGTATTCATTACATGGCACAGTGCAGAGATCTGAGCTGCAGCATGGAGGGTGTGGTTGGTATGCTTTGTTCTGTCTCCCACCTTAAAAACGCATTTGGGGATGCGGACAGGACAGAGCAGCAGAAGGGGAATAAGACCCAAGACCCTGGGTGCTAACCTGGAAGAGGAAATTGAAGCGGAAATAAGTAAGGATGGAGTAATGGAGCCAGGGAAGTATCAATTTGCTATAACTCCTCAACAAGTTAGTGGAAGTGGGTTAAAAGTCTGTCAAGTTGACGATGGCCCAAGAATAAGGCAAATGGCCGAGGAAATAAATTACACAGTGTGAGAAAACATAACGTTGAAGTTGACCGCAAAGATAAGTGTGACCCTTCGGAGAACCATCAACCAGTTTGGAAGGTCAGGCCGTGCGTCGCTCTTTCACTAGGTCCCTCGGAGCCACACCACAACTTGGATGACAATTCCAGCCAGGCAAAGCCTTCATGCTTTTTCCTGACCATCTTACCCCCTGGACTCCATGCCTTGTGATTCTACAGGAAGCCCCCATCACATTCCTTAATTACTTTTTAATCAACATAGTGTATTGAGAACATTGTTCCGAGTCCTTCAAAGCAAAGGGCACAAGGTGGAAAGTTGCAGCTGGATATATATATATATATATATAAATCTAACAAAACAAAAAAACTTATTTAAATATCTAAGAGATTGAAGAAAGACTTCTACTGGCAAAGGTGATAGCTGAAAACCAATGTCTCTCCCTCATCAGTACCTTCCCAGGTGTTGATACAAGAAGTGCTGGCTTGACAGGACCAGGACCCTGCAAGCAGTTACACTGTGGGTTCCTCCTTAATCTGAATCAAAACTATGTTAGTTTCCCCCATACTTGAAGCCCTGCGGCCCTTTTTCCACTGCCCACAAGTGAGGTTTAACTCTCTCTAGGGGAGAAAGGGGGGGAAGAAAGCCGCGCACACATGCCCGGATTCAGTTTGGCAATACCCAGTCCCGGGTGCCTGAAGGAGGCACGCTGAAGCATCTGTTACTGCAGCTGATACCTTTCTGGGAAACGCTGCGCTGAAAGGGTGAAGGGGACACAGATAGAGGTGCGATGGGCTGTGAGCTGGGATGCGACTTACATGCTGGCATTACCGTGTGGAGGTTCCCAGAGGCCGCACGCTCATCCTCCAGCGCTCCTCTGCTTTGCTGCCCGCGAGCTCCACCGAAAGGGACCGGGGCTTTCGGGACCGCGCCCCACAGGACCCTTCGTCACGCCCTTTCTGGAGAGTTCATAGGGTTTCCCGGCAGCTGCTCGTCCCCTGCGCGCGGGGCGGCGCAAGGTGGACCCCGGGCGCGCGCCGCGGAGTTCAAGATTAGGTCCCGCGCGTAGGGGCGCGGTTGACGGCGGCAGGTTCGGCCCGGCGTAGAACTTTCTCAAAGAGTTGGGACGAAGGGCTCCGGCGAGCGGCTGGCGGCGGATCCCAGCCTGCGGGGCTTGGAGAGGCTGAGATCACCAGACTCCTGAGCCCGCGGCCAGGCGAGGCGCAGCGCCGGCCTCGGTTCCCCCCTGAGGCTCAGGTGCGGCTCTGCGCGGCCCCCGGGGTGGCCCCAGCTCTAGGACCGTCCTGCAGGCGCAGCTGCCCCACCCAAAGCCGGCCACCCGAGGGCAGAGGCAAAGGGAGAAGTCTCCACGCGGGGCGGGACCGGCGCGGGCGGCTGGGTTGGGAGACTGGCGCAGAGCCAGGCGCAGCTCCGGGGAGGGGACCCCGCTGACCCCGAGGTCACCCGCTGGCCGCGAGAGCAGAAACCCACAGAGCTTGGGTGAAGGAAAGGAGCTCAGAATGCAGGCACGCCAGTGGGCATTTGTTCTGCCTGCTGCTAAGCACCCAGGCTGTCACTTACTTTTCCCTTCCTTAGTTCTTCCTCTTCCACCATCACCAAAGTCCCCTCAATTTCTCTCCAGAAAGACAGACAGACAAAAAGGAAGGAAAAGGAAGGAAGGAAGGAAAGAAGGAAGGAAGGAAGGAAGGAAGGAAGGAAGGAAGGAAGGAAGGAGAAAAGAAAAGGGAAAGAAAAGAGAAAGGAAAGAAAGAACAAGAAGGGGAGGGGAAATAGGGGGAGGGCTTGAGAGGTTTGAAGCGATATACCTCCTTTAATTTTTTAAATTTTTTTTTCTTTTCTGTTTGAGAGGAATTAATTTACCAATGCAAACGCAGCCGCTCACTAGGGAAAGTCAAGACAGCAAGGCTTCTGCTGAGAAGCTGCTAGGCAAGGGATGTAGGCACACTTACTAAAAGATGGGGAAGCACTCAAGCAGAGGGTCCCTTTGCACTGTGCTTTGCCAGACTAAATTCAGAGTGCTAGGGGCGAAGGCCTTTCCAGACTTGATTTCATTCAGAGGAAAGCAGACCGGCTTTTCTTTGTAGACAGACACATACAAAAGCCATAAAAGTAGATTAACCCTGATTGGCTAGTGGTAGAAAAGAGTTGGGGGTAGGAAGAAAAGAGGTAAAACAGGATTGAGGACAGAGAGTTTCAGGCAAAAGAAAGAGGAAGCTGGAAAGCCGCCAGCAATCTAGACTACTTCTGGTCCAGCGTCTGTTCTTGTGATTTTTATCAGTATTTATTTTAACATTAAAAAAAAAAAAACAGTAGAATTAATAGAGGCTCAAACTGCTTCATTTAAGAAAAGAAGTCTCAATAACCTGGATCCGCAAGATCTCTGACACTGGACCACTAACCAGGCAGCATACAGCAGCTGATATGACGCCCCCAACACATATACAGCAGAGGACTGCCAGGTCTGGGTTCAGTCAGAGCGGATGCACCTAACCCTCAAGAGACTAGAGGCCCCAGGGAGTTTAGAGGTCTGGTTGGGTAGGGCGTGGGCGCCCCCCCCCCCCCCCATCCTCGTGGAGACAGGGAAGTGGGGAGGAGGTATGGAATGTGGAACAATAGGACTGGATTGGATGGGGGGATAAAATCTGGAGTGTATAAATAAATAAATAAATAAACGATAAAAAAGATTATAGCTGGTATCTGGGACATTCACATCTACTGTGCCTGTCCTTCATTAAAAAAAGAAAAAAGAAAAGAAAAGCTGAGATCCTTTTGGTATTACAGGTAGGAAAATGAGGCAGAGTCTGCACAAATTATTCAGAAAGGACCAGGGCTTGAGACTAAGGTTTACAGACTCTCAGTTCAAGTCCACCTCTGTGACATTAGATTGTCCCAAGGAATTATTTAATGTTCCACCTAGAACTTTTCAAAACAACATAATTTCATAGTTGTGGGTCTGGAATCTGGGTGCAGCTTAGCTCTGTGTCTACCACAAGACTAATCAAAACAGGAATTAAAGTGGTGTCTCCTGAAGGCTTGACAGGAGCAGAGTCTACCTGGAAACTCTTCTTGAAGTTGTTCCACACACACAATTCTGTTTTGCTTACTCTTTGACGATGATTATTCTCACCCCTCATCTTCTTTTATCTCCCTCTCGTCCCTATGGACCATAGTCCAATTCATGATTTCCGAGTTGGTTTTGTGGCCAGTTTAGCTTAACCGCTGCTGTCTGTTGGTTTCAAGCTCTCCCTTGGAGTCTGGTTGGATCACAGTTAAAAGCAATGAGTCCCCATTCCCTGCACTGATTAGTATCAAATAATTCAGCAATTAGAGGTAGTGCCATCTGAGTCCCTTCTCCGTCTGTATGTCTACTGGTGGGGGCCAACCTTCCAGGTGGGATGTGCTGGCTTTTGCAATAAGAGCATCACCGCTTTCGGTTGACAATGCTCTCATGGTATCTGAGATCTGCTCTATAGAAGGAATCTATACCAGGTTCCATAAACCTGGCCAAAAATCCATGACTGGTAGGTTATAAACCCTGGGGGCTGGGAGACTTAATACTGCTCTTTAGGTAAATTGACACAACATCAAACAGTAGTCTAAATGCTTATATTAATATCCATAGACAAATAAACGCTACTCTCGGCAGTTATCAGAGAACTCTCATTTTCCAGTGGTGAATTTTCCCACAATGGTAGCGAACGCAGAGACTCATGGCTGTGGGAGCGGCTGAGAATAAGTCACAGATGAGTTAGTTGTCATCACCTCTAAGGCTAAGAACACTGTGGAAGAGAGGGAGGAAAGAATGGAAGAGCCAGAGAATAGGGAGGAGGGCTGTGAAATGTCATCCTCTGGGCAAGACTCAACCGCTGCAGTCATGAACTCACAGCAGTTGTATTTGACTAAACTGGGTCTATACATGCATAAAGTTTTAACTTAAAAGTGACCATGAAACAGAGAGCAAAGAGAGAAACAGAAGGAACAGCGTTAGCCAGTGCTCTTCCCCAGAAAAAGAGAATCATCTAGACCTCTGTGAGAGTATACTGAGACTGCTCTCAAGGAACTGGCTCATACAACTATGGGGATGTGGGCTCAAAATCTGTAGGATAAGCCCGCAGACAGGAGGAGTTACAATCTGCTGACTGAATCCTTTCTTGCTCTTCAATTAATCATTCAGCAACTAGTGATTTTTAAACAAATTTTACCAAGATTACCAATATTAGCAAATTATAAATATTTATGGTGTACAGTGTAATATTTTGTGTATATAATGTGAAATAATTCAGCTAAATAACATTATCTGGGACCTCATTTATGTATCTGTATTGTAATGAGGACACTTGAATTTTATTTTCATGGCAATATTAAAATACACAATATAATTATTAGTGGTCATACTCATTATGTTACACAAATAATCAAAAAATAGATTCCTAGTAAGGAGTGGTGGTGCATACCTGTAATCCTAGCACTTGTGAGGCTGAGACAAAAGGATGGAGAATTTAGTATCAGCCTAGGATCCTCTGTGTGAGTGGTGGACGGCATTTCTACTGACTGAAATATTGTTCCCTTTGATTGACAGCTCTCCATTTCTACCGATCCCTCACTTTTAGCAATCATCATACTATTCTCTATTTCTTTGAGTGTCTGTATTATATTTTCCTAATAAGTGATATCCACGTGGTAATTGTCTTTCATCCATCAAGAGATAAATGAATGAGTTAGGGTTTTTATTGCTATGAAGAGACACCATGACCATACCAAGTCTTATAGAAGAAAGCATTTAATTAGGACTTGAACATATAATTGGGGTCTACTTACAAGTTCAGAGGTTTAGTAGATCATTGTCCTTGTGGGAAGTACAGCAGCACACAGGCAAATGCGGTGCTGAAGAAATAGCTGAGAGTTCTACATGCTGATCTATAGAAAACAGGAAGAAAGAGACACTGAGCCTGGCTTGAGTGTCTGAAACACCAAAACCCACCCCCAGTGACTCACCTTCTCCAACAAAGTCACACCTCCTGATAGTGCTACTCTCTATGAACCTATAGGAACATTTTCATGCAAACCATCACAATAAGGAAAATGCAATAACACACACATACACACACATACACACATGATGGGTACAATAAGGAAATTCTTCCATATCAAACACTGATGAATCTAGAACATGTCATCCAATGAAAACTGACTTAAATGTTAATCTCATCCCCAAACTAACCTCTCAGGAATATACAGAATGACATCTGACCAAATAGCTGAGCACCTGGCCAAACCAAGTTAACAGGTAAAATTAATCACCACATTGACCAAAACCAGGAGACATTCTAGGAATACAGAAGTAGTTATTATGTGCTGCTACAAAATTCATGCATTGAGGTTTCCACAAAAAAAAAAAAAAATACGTGAATCACAGCTAAAATATTTCAGTGCCTGTGCTGGCTATTGGTCAGAAGTACGTTAGGAGCATCTGCATATTTTGAAATCTGTTCTCACACAAAAAAAGGATTTGTTCTTTTTCTTTGGAGGAGCTTGTTAGGAAAACAGTATGAGATGCAAATTACAGTCTTTTAATGAAATGGTTACTACTCAGCCATCCAGTCTGTCATCACTGTGAACTTCTGCAGTTTATCCTGACTTATAAAATAAGGGTAACTACTGAGCATGTTTCAGTAAGATTCAATAAGCAAAGGACAGAGAAGGCTCGGGGGTTTTCTGGAATTTGGTGATATCACTTGCCCCTCCTGCTCCGTATATCATAGCATCCTAAAACTGAAAGTACCAGGAGCACATTCCTCTGCATTCAGCAATCTGATGGCATTCCAGACAAGAGGAATTTTGGACATCTGTGTAAATCCTTTAATGCTGATGAACACTTGGCTATGAGAAACTTCCTTTTTCTATTGATTGACTTAAACATTCCTGTCTTTAACATCCATTCAGAGCAGGGGCAATCTGCCTTGCA